GTGTGTGTGTGGTGGGAATATGCAAACCTGTCACTATATGCACATGGAGGTCAGCGGATAACTTTGTGAAGTTATTTCTGCCCTTTCACCTTTTTGTGGGTTCCATGGATCAAATTCGGTTATCAGGTTCGCTAGGCAAATGCTTTTATCTGCTGAGCCATCTTGCTAACCTCTTGACTTATTTTTGTTTGTTTTGAGACAGGTCTCATGTGGTCCAGGCTAGTCATGAACTCTTTCTATACAGCTTCGGCTGGCCTTGAACTTGAGAGCAAGGCCGTCTACACCCACTCATGATGGCTCTCAGTGAAACTGTGTGTTGAGCCACCAGGCTTGCAAGAAAAGTGGACTAGCCCCAGACGCGGGACTTGTAGGCACTAACACTGGTTGGGATTTGTGATTCGGTGAATCTAGGATGAAGCATGATCTCCACAGAGCCCACAGGCATGCCGAGAGTCCTCTCTAAGCCTGGGCAGTGCTCTGGGAGTCCAGGTCACCCAGGGGATGCTCCTGATAGCTGCGGCTGAGGCTAAGGAGGTAGAGAGGTGCCTGGGAGAGGCGTCTAGCACAGAATTCCCCAGGCAGGCAGCTGGTTACACCCCATTCCTTAATACACGTACTCCCCTTTGAGAGCCGTATGTCACAGGATCTCAGCCTCCTTGTGTGCCTGGCTCAGCTGTCAACCTCTGGCTCCATAGCTCAGGCTTTCCCTCAGCGAGTCTGAACCAAAGGAGGCAGGACCCACGTGGGGCAGGGAGACGGATTCCCAGTTGCTGTCACATCCACATGGATACGTGTGGATCACATCCACTTGACCCACGTGTGTGTGTACTGAAACACAGGCACACAGCACAAGGGCGCCAGGGCCATATGCTAACCAAGTTCTCCTCATCCACGGAAGCACACAGAACATTCTCACAACCTGTCAGGATGGCCACAGTCAAGGGATAGAGAATAAAAGACAGAACCACGGTGCACACACACACACACACTCACATCCTACATATTCACACACCTGACACAAGGGTGCACATAGACATGTTCACAACCCCTACATTCACCTGCACATAGGCACACAGAAGCACACTCACAACACAATGGCAGGTAAGCATACACGTCATCACATGTACACCACACATATGCACATCCTGGGCATGTTCATACATGCATGTATAAATACCTGTGGGGTGAAAGACATGATACACAGAGTCACAACTCCCCACCCAATGCTTCAGTGAAGAGCTCCCTCTGGGTGGACCTCAGTTTCCTCATCTGCACAATGGGTGGGATCCAGGCCCGCCTCACAGGTTAGCATAGACTAGCTGATGCTATCCCACACAATCAGAGCCTGGAAGCCAGGGAGGAGGTGCATCTTCATTGCTTGGAGGCATCTGCTCACCCAGGCTCACATAGTCCTGCAACCTCCATCCTGGCTTCCCCTGGGGAACTGGACTTCTACCTCCCAGTGTAGTTCTGGTCTCCACTGGGCCCCAAACCCAGCAAACAATTTTGCATATATTTAAATCTCCTCTGTGAGCTCCCAGGCTCCAACCCCCCACCCCAAAGGAGAGAAAGAAATGACAAAGGCGTCATTTGTCTCCGTCGAGCACCCCATCTATCAGGGTCGCCGAGCCCGTCGCCTTGAATGAGGCGCGCACCCGGGAAGGCCGCTTTAATGGGCTCCGCGTGTGACTGCAGCCGGGCGGTGCAGGGCCGGCATTTGCATACATATTAAACGGAGCAGTAAAAAATGCAGACATGCAAACCATTTGGACGGCTCCTCGGCTCCTCGCACACAGCCTGCCAGGAAATCAATCTTTGGGTTTCTTAAAGGAAACCTGCTCCAGGGAAGGTGGGAATGCCGCGCAGCCCACGGTCCCGGGAGGGGAGAGGGGAGGGAAGGCCGGTCAGAGGTCCGTGCTGTGTCCACCCAGGCCATCCCAGTCACAGGGAATCAGGGGCAGTGAAGGGAGCCCTGTGTGTCCTGCTGTATGCCCTCTCACGGGAGGCTCTGCCTCTGAACCCCATCACTGAGGGATGGGAGTGCTCCCCCATCTTTGTGTCTGGGGTGGTGGTGGTGTTCTGGACCACAAACCCAAGACTACCCAGGCACTGGGGTCTCTGGAGGCTCTCCTCTTCCCCAGCTGTGTAACCTTAGGAGAGTCATTAACCTTTCTGTTTTCTAACCCCCTCCCCTCCGCTTGGTTTTTTGTTCGTTAGTTTTTTCTGAGACAGGGTTTCTCTGTGTAACAGCCCTGGCTGCCCTGGAACTTACTCTGTAGACCAGACTGCTCTCAAATTCAGAGATCTGCCTCTGCCTCCCGAGTGTTGGGATTAAAGGCCTCCACCTCTCTGTGAGTTCAAGCCCAGCCTGATCTACAGAGTGAGTTCCAGGACAGCCAGGGCTACACAGAGAAACCCTGTCTTGAGAAACAAACAAACGAACAAACAAAAAACAACAAAACCAAACAAACAAACAAAAACACCCCAAAACCTACAACACCACGGTCCACACTGTCCAGCCAACCTTTCTGTTTTCTAAGCAAGCATCCAGTGGGATGTTTGATTACTGTAGATCAGGCTTGTAAAACACTGGCACTCAGTTGGAGGTCGTGAACCTTTAATCCCAGCACTAATGAGGCAGAGGCAGGCGGATCTCTGTGAGTTCTAGGCCAGCCTGGGCTATGTAGTGAGACCCTGCCTTAAGAAACAGGCAAGCGCTGTGGCAGAGGAAATGTAAGGAGCGGCCTCCATTGTGTGTGTGTGTGTGTGTGTGTGTGTGTGTGTGTGTGTGTTTGCCTGCATAGTCAAGTCACTCTTCCCCACCTCCTGTCCTACACAGTGGAGTGACAGGACTCTCATGGGACGGTCCTGCTCCACACTAGAGGGCATGTGACCCAAAAGATGTGTCAAAAGATCATGTCATCTGCGCCAGCAGGGATGGTGCACCTGAGCGGAAGAGGCAAGCAAGTAAGTGACCTAGAATTTTCTGGCAAAGTCTGCCCCCAACCCTCTGAAGTCCACTCTGCAGATGAGGAAACTCGAGTGGGCTGGAGGGGCCAAAGCAACTGAGCTTCAAGGTGTTGGAGATGGAGTTGCGCTGTTGGCAGGGGGGCGGCCCCTCCCCCAGTGTGTAGGAGACTCCCACACTAGAATTGCCCTGCAACTGGAGGAGAAAGAAATGGGCTTGGCGCTCTTTGGCTTGTGGGTGAATATTTGGTACCTAGCAAGGTGAAAGGGAGAGAAGAAAGAAAGGAAGCTTCCCAAGTGAGCTCATCCGGCCTCCCTTACTTCACCGGTGCAGGGTAGCCAGCGTTTGCACCTGCAGGGCCACGCTGGGGGTGCTTGGCCCTGCGTGGAGCCCCCCTGCACCAGAGAGCCTAGGGCTAGGGTGAGATTATCCTGCTGGGGCTCTGAGCATCCTGGCAGGTGCCAGTAACCTTTACAGTCCTGTGTGGGTTGCAGCCTGGAGCCAATGGAACCAACAAGGTCCCGCCTACAGTTGTGACCCCCAAGATATAGGACGGACTGTGGCTGCTGGGCTTGAGTGGTGGGCGTGCTTCTCTGCCTTCCTGGGAGTCCAAACTCTGGAGCCTCAGTTTCTCCACCTCCCTCAAGAGCCAGAAGTGGAGGCGTTGAGGAGGGCTGGTGGGGGCTGGGTGAGAGGGTCGAAGTTACTGGACCTCGGGGGTGATTGCTCAACCTGGGGGAGCCTAGCCATAGGGCCTGCAGGGCCCCCACTCTACTGCCTCCCCACCACTCCCGGTCCTCCCTCCCTCCGGCCCCGCATAACAAACATTCCTCGCCAACCAACCCCTGCAGCAGCAGCAGCCTGGGAAGGGGGAACTACCGCAGACAGCAGGCAGCCGCCAGAAATGCTTAACCCATTCGCTCCCGGACGCTGGAGCCCAAGACCCCGTCGGGGTGGGAAATCACAGCTGTCAGAGTTCTTCTCAGGCTCTGGTGACCAGGTCAGGTGATTGACCTGGATCAACAAGTCGTCAATCTGTCTATCAGAAACTCATTCAGAAGTTTCCAGAGCTCACTCTGGGCCAGGCCAAGGCACTAGGGTGTGGAATAGAGACGCTAAGGGGGACCCATCGCACTTTCCCAGGTCCCTGAATCCAGTGGAAGTGGCTCCCACTAAGAACGGAGGGTCTCCTGGTCTCTGGGAGAGGGCTTAGGGCAGAATAAGGATACTTCCTGTGGGGACCCCGCAGGTGGAGAGCACCCTCCCCACCCAGCACCTTAGTAAGTGAAGGCAGAGGTTTGACCAGGGTACAACATACTCACGTTTCTCCAGTAAAGAATAATTCATGGCCCACAAAGTCTTTGCCACACTGTGAGGACCTCAGTTGGATCCGGTCCCTAACACCCACATCAGAAACCCAAGCCTGGTAGCATTTGATCGTAGTCCTGGTGCTGGAGTGGGATAGAGGCAGGAGGATCCGGGCGTCCCCTGGCCTGCCTGCCTGTGAGTGATCTTCAGGTCCCAGGGAGAGATTTAGGTGGGAGACAGGGCCAGAGGACCAGGCTGCACAAATACACACAAAACAACAACCTCGTGGAGGGGGATTCAGGAGCAAATCGATCGATATACCTGAATTCCAGCACACCTGAACACACCGAAGTGCCACCAACAGGACATGCTACACATGACATCCCACATATACTGTCCTGTAGCCAGTGCAGCAAACCAGCTCCAGACCGGCTGGTCCTCTGGGAGAGGTCGGCACGCCTGCGCAAACCTGAAGCCCCCCAGAATGCCCCAAGGAGACAGAATGTTGGCCTGAGGGAGTGCTGAGAGATGCTGGGACCCACAGCCTCCTGGAGTTTTGAAGGAAGCTGAGATCAAGCAGCTGGTCCAGGCCCGCACCGTGGGGTGTGGGGCCGGCTACTCAGGAAGGAAGTCAGCAGGCCATACAGCCTCAGTGTTGGTAGCCTCAGGCCCCTGGAACTCCCTCCCGCGTCCCCCATCATTCCCCATCCACTCCCATCCAGTTGCTGACTTCTCTACCTGGCCTGGGTCTCAGGCCTCCTTAGAGAAGCAAATTCAATGCCCAGGAAACCAGAAGCCACTTGGAAAGGATAGCTAACCCATGCAGCTTTCTGCGTGTGTGTGTGTGTGTGTGTGCGTGTGTGTGTGTGTGTGTGTTTCTGTCCTTCACTTCCTAAGGCATGAAGAACTTGAGAGGAAAGACTGGTAGAAAGCTCTAGATTGCAATGTGTTTACTACAGAGAGTCTCCCTCCCGTTTCTTTGAGACAGGATGACTTCACACTCACTCTATCACTGGATTCTCCTGCCTCCACCCACCCCGCCCCCCGAACGGGGTGTGTGTGTGTATGACAGCTGTGTGCCACAACTGGTTTGTGCAATCCTGGAGAAGCAAACTCAAGGCTCTGTCTATGCCTACCGTTCTACCAGCTGAGCCACACTCCCAGCCTCGACATTCCCTCCTGCTGATGAAACAGGAGTACTCAGCATGTAGCCGCACAACAGAGAGCTTGTCTGATGGCATAGCCCCACTTCATGCACACCCATGCGGTCTCTGGCTTCCCCTGACCAGCCCAAACTCCCCAGGACCAATGGAGAACCAAAGGGCAAATTCAGTCTATGGTTCTGTGTATGTGGAAACTCAGGCCCAGAGAGACTGAGCCACTTGCCCAGAGTTACACAGCTCCCAAATAGGCCCAACACAAAGCAAGTACCTTTGACCCTTCCCTCCAGGTCCTTCTGTCTCCAAACATCCTTCTAAGCCAGTCCAGGCTTCAGGACCCAGTGTCTGTAGCCAGTTCTGTCTCTTCCTAGTCTGTGTGTTGGGAGAGCAAAGCTAGACCAGCATGAAGTCTGTGTGTGGAGTCTTCTCGGGGAAATGCCCAGGATGCTTCTCCAGTGGAGAATTGGGCTGTGCCCAGACCAGCCGGCTAGAGTGGGCATGCCTGTATACACCCCCGGCTCAATTCTTTCCCATGGGCTTCTTTAGAAGGGCCATGGACTGAACCCCTCTGGTCAATAGGACTTCTGTGTGGATTCCTCAAACTCCAAGTGTCACCACATCAGTCTCCTGGGTGTCCTGGTGAAGCAACCCTAGGTCTTCAGGCTGGGTCCAAACCCTGTCTCTGAATCTGAATCACAATGGGGGAAGGCCAGAAAGTCAGTATCACCCATTATATAGATGGGAAACTTAGGACTATGAATTCACCAGCTTGAGATACACAACCAATGGTCAGTGAGAATTAACCGAGGACACTGCAGTGGTGGGCACCCAGAGGCACCCACTGACCACTAGTCCTCCCAGCCAGGGGCCTGCCCTGCCCCTGCCTGTGTGGCTCTTGGTCACAGCAAGCAGACTCTGGCTTGACAATAAGTTCCCCAACTCTTCATCCTAACCTCCCCACATGCTTTTGTTTGATTTGATTTGGTTTTTTATGAGACAGGGTTTCTCTGTGTACTCCTAGCTGTCCTAGAACTCACTCTGTAAACCAGGCAGGCCTCAGACTCAGAGATCTGCCTGCCTCTGCCTGCCGAGTGCTGAAATTAAAGGCATGTGCCACCACTGCCCAGCTCAATCAATGAATACTTTATCTCATCTATAATATTTATTTTTACCCCTGGCTCGGGTCCATCCTAAGCTCTTCTGCTCCCAAGCTCCTCTTGTGACTATGGCTGTGCACATGCACACATGGGAACACACACACACACACACACACACACACACACACACACGCTTGCCTCATGCACTGTTTACAATGAATTGTCTAACCTGGGAATGTGGGTGGAACAAGGTTGCCTGGTGTCATGGCACCCATGACCTGACAGAGCATGGCTTGAGAGCAGGGGCTGTGCTGTGGTCACTGCCGTCATTCCCCTGAGCTCAGTGTGGCTCTTCCATTTCCTTCCCATCCCGGGTTAACACCCCAGTCACTCGTGTCCACTAAATGGTAAGAAACCAACAAAGTGCACCAGGAAAGATACCTCTCTTTGTGCTGAAGTGATGGTTGCCATGGTCACCAACCTCCAAGATGGTCTCCAAATGATTCCTGCCTTCAGGCATTTACAGGCTGTATTGTCCCCCTCCACAGTGAAGAGGGCTGGTTGGGGCAGCCAGTGCGATAGGAGGAAATGAGTGTCCAAGGCACGGTCATAAAGGTCTTTCATGTTGCCCAGTCTGGTGGAAGCCAGCTGCCATCTTGGAAGGAAACTCAAGCAGAGTTTCCCGGAGTTCACAGGACAGATCTGTAGGAAGCACACACCCCACGCTCAGTGAAGCCTTCCCACAGCCTTAGCCACAGTGACCTCAGGCTGGGGACAACCGGGGGGCTGAAGTTGAATTCCTGATCTCTGAAACTGAGATAAAAAGTACTTGTTGTTTTAAGTGTGGGGCCGTTTGTTACGCAATTGTTGGTGACTAACACAGAAGCAGAGAGGACTATCATCCACAGGCCTCCCAAATCCATTCCCAGGCAAACCGACCCCATGACATGCTCTGGAAACTACTCTTGGTGAACGCAGGCAGATCATGGCCGGCTTCCTGGTCCAGATTCCTAGGGCTGTGGCTTGTTCGAGCAGACCCTTCTGGCCAGGGGCGCTGCTCCCCTAACCCTGCAGTTCTTGGAAGCTCTGGGATGCTGCCATCAGAATCCTCTGGGACATAGGACCAAACTGTCACATGAGCTCCTGAGGTCTTGCCTCTGTGAACCCTTAGGGAGGAAGGTGCTTCCTGGTACCCCACCATGCTCCCTTAATGAGGCTCCTTGTCCCTGTGTGAGCTAGTTCCTTCCAAAACACACGGGGGCATTTCTCTGAGGGAATACAGCCACGGCCTTAAAACACAACGCGCTGGAAAATGGCATTGGATCTAGAAAAATTCATTTCACATACAACTTTTTCAGGCTGAATCCACCCCCTTCAGGGAGGCGAGGCAGCGTTCAGCAAACCACATTCTTTCAGGTCCCTGGGGCCTTGTGGGGGTGGGAACGGAGCTCTGTGTGCACACTGGAAGGCAGAGATCTTTCTTTTCTGTTACAGGCGTAATTCTCCCCTGGAGCCACTCTGTCCTTCCCCACATAGCATCCTGGGGTTCTCCAGCCCCCCACCCTTCACTTGCAGACCCTAAAGGTTGGCCACAGCCCCCCATGGGCTTGGGGCAGCAGCAGATGAGAGGTGAGGAGACTACAAATATTGAACCCTTACTGCCCAACAAGACACAACCAGCCCAGCTTCCCCCCCTCCACCCCGAGTCTCCCACCCAGCCCTATGATCCATGCAGGCCAGTTGCTGTAGAATCTGGGCAGGAGCCCCAGCTGATCTAAGGCATATAAAAAGGTTGGGGAGAGCTGGGCTGCGCCCTGAAAAGGCTGGCTCGAGGTGCCCCTCATCCTGATGCATCAAGCTTCCCCCGCCCCTCCTAGGTTCTGCGTCCTGGCTTAGCCTCTCACAGGGGCACCCGGCTGAAATTCCTGAGAGCCCACCCCATGCCTCTGCTTTTCCTCTGCCTTCTTCACTCATCGTGGAAAAGCCACAGAGGATCATGGGTAAGCCAGGGTGAGAAAGGGAGAGGCTCAAACTAGAGGTACAGTAACACTGCTGCCCTACCTGGGCGTGGGAACTCTCAGCATCTGGGAGGTGGAGGCAGGAGGATCAGGAGCTCAGTGACAAGCTGCAAGGTGAGGCTCCGCTGCACTGCGAGCCAGAGGCTGGGTTAGGAAGACCCTGTCCAAAGCAGGAGGAAGAGGGGGAGAGGAGAGAAGAGGAAGAGGAGCAGGAGAAGGGAGAGGAGGAGAAAGGGGGAGGAAGAGATAGCAATGCCAGCCCTTTTACAGGGTACCTGAAACCCAGGAAAGAGATAATGGGATTCAGAGAGGGCAAGTCATTTATCAGGGTCACACAGCAGCGAGCAGCATTTAAAAGAACCCTGCAGGATCTTCCTGCACCCTGCCAAGGGAAGACTTCCAAGATGGGTGGCAGGGACAAGCCACAGGGACTGCCAAGGAGCTGTGCCTCCCTCCAGTCAGTGGCTTAGTACCTGCTCTAGGGTCATCAGGATCTCCAGTGGCTTTCTGGAAGGAGCTCTGTGCCGGTCACATCGTCTCAGAGTCCCTATGGTGGCTGCACCTGCCCTGAGGGCTGGCCCACATGGATATCATATAATATGGCTGTGCTGTGATTTTTCTTGCATTGGTAGCAATGGTGTGTGCCTTCCCTAGGGGGAGCTAAGTTGGGGATGCCAAACACCACCACTCAGCCCTTGACTCACCCCAAATGAGGGTGTTCCTAAGCAGCAAACCAGCTTGTTTGGGGCTGCTGGGGGCAGACCACAGCTGGACAGAATCTCAGCAATGAAGAGAGGGACCAGCCAAGAATCTGCGCTCACATGTGTGCGTGAGGCCCTGCCACCGAAGTCTCTTAGGAGCATCGGCACCGAACCTTTCCAGCTTTTCAGACCAGTTGGGTCGGCAGTGCCAGTCGGGGTTTCCCCACCCCTACCTCACTCCACCAACCATGGAAGCAGCCAAGACGTTGGAGAGGACAGGGCTGATGGCCACAGCTCACTGGGAGGTACAGCAAGGGACAGATATGCACACAGGCCTTGGGTCTGAACCAGACCCTTGCCTGTATTCTCCACCCTGGCAATCCTCTGGGAGGGTGTGGGGACCCCATCTGCAGCTTGCAGGCCCGGCTTAGGCACACATGGCACAAGATAGGAGTCAAACAGTCAGGGAGCATTATATGGTTACAGAGAAGAACTCCGTCCTGCTCAACCTCCCCTCACAACATATGGAGTTCCAAGCCTTGGATGCACCTGCCAGAAGAGTTCAGAGGTCATAAGTGGGCTCAGAAGTAAGTTGGACATGGGGTATCTGCCACTGACTGACAACTGTCTTCTCTCCCAGTTTTCAACCGACTGTATCTCCTCCACCTATGACAGAGTCTTCAGACCCCATCCTGAGGGTATGTCTTCTCCATTCCAAACAGGAAGTCACCTCTGAACACCCCAGAAGCCACTAGGGAGAAGGGCACAGCAGCTTCTTAAGAATGATTCTCAGGGGCAGGCAAGATGGATTGGTGGGTAGAGGACCTTGCTACCAAGCCTGACAACCTGAGTTCAATTCCTGGAACCCACACGGTGGCAGGAGAGAAGTGACCCCAGCAAGTTGTCCTCTGACCTCTGCATGCTTGCTGTGACATGAACACATAAAATACAGGCAAATGAATAAGCAAATGTAATTTAGAAAGATAACTGGCTGGCAGGAGATTCAATGAAGCGCTTGCCACACAAGTCTAAAGAACTGGGTGGAATCCCTTGGATCCATGTTAAAAAAAAAAAATCCAAGCGCAGCAGTATACACATCTATGATCTCAATTCTGGGAAGGTTGAGGCAGGAGGATACCTGGTTGGCATAGTGGCTCACACCTTTAATCCTATTCTTTGGAGGCAGAAGCAGGTGAACCTTTGTGAGTTCCAAGCCAGCCACACACACACACACAGACACACACACACAGACTCAGACATATGCACATACATACATACATACATACATACATGCAAACACACACAGAGACACACATACAAATACACAGATACACACACAGACTCAAACAGACATACACACATGCAAAAACACACACAGGCACACACATACACACACACATACACACATGCAAACACACACAAATACATACACATACATACACACATGCAAACACACACAAATACACACACATACATACACACACAGATACACATGGACTTAAACAAACATACACACATACATGCACATACAATAAACATACTCACACACTCAAGGTAAAGACTGATGGAGGAAGATACCCAGTGTTGACCTTTAACCTCCTTATGCATGCATACCCAGGTGCACACACACAGGTATACACATGCTCTAACAATAAACACACACACACACAGATTCTCATGTGCTCTGGTCTAGGGACCACAGGAATGGTGAGTCACCTGGACCCTTTGGCTACCTTGGGAATAAATGACAATAGTCCATCTGCTGTGACACAGGATCTGAGAAGTGCTGGTGTGCCAGAATGGACTCTTTTTTTTTTTTTAAGAAAAAAAAGTCTCACTATGTAGCCCTGGATGTTCTGGAACTTGCTATGTAGTTCAGGTTGGTCTTGAATTCAGAGGTTTGCCTGCCTCTGCCTCCTGAGTGCTAGGGTTACAGGCATGTTCTGCCACATCCTGTCCAGATTCATTTTTTACTTTTTGTGTGTATGTGTGGGGTCATGTGTGGGGCTTATGTGTCCCACGTGCACGCAGGTGCTTGTGGAAGCCAGAGGGTGTCAGATCCTCTCTAGTTCACAGGTAGTTGAGCGGTGGGTGCTGGGAACCAAACCCGAATCCTTCAGAGCAGTGAAGTCTCTCGGTCACTGAGCCCTCCTCCAGCTAGGGGGCTGCTTACAAGTAAGGTCTACAAGCAGCTCCAGTGTGTGCAATATTCTGCCCCACTCCCACCCCACCGCCTTCGCAGGTCCCCTCCTTGATGAGATGCCTCTTCTAGGGCAGAGGTAATGCCTAGCTTGCACCCAAAGCCTTGCCTAGCACCCGCTTCTGGAATTCAAACCCCAGTGTTGCCTTCCCCGCCGAGCTCAAGGCTCTGCTCTGACCCGGAACAGGCCCTGAGGCCCAGCAGCACCTCACACCAGGGACCTTTAGCACTGTCCTCCCAGCCTCGGACACGGAGTCTCCATCGCCACACTCCCCAGGGACACTGAGGACAAACTGGGCAGGTAGGGGCTCTGGTCTCTGGGATAGTTAGCATGAATTGTCAGCTTGGCAGCAGACTCTAGAGTCACCCAGGAGATAGGCCTCTAAGCTTGCTGGTGGGGGTGCGGTGGGAAGACCCACCCACTGTGGGTAGCACCATTCCTTGGTTGGGATCTCGGACTGTAGAGTGGAGAAAGGGAACTGGGTCACACTGTGCATTCACGGCGCTCTGCTTCCTTCCTGACTGTGGATTTGATGTGACCGGCTGCTAAGTCTGTCTGTCCCTAGCATGGTGTAGCGGTGGGCAAAGTGAACACTCCTTCCTTAAGTGGCTTTTGTCAGTGTATTCTATCACAGCAACAGAAAAATAACAGACAGAACCCTCATCTACCCACAGTGTGGGCCACCCTGTCTGGCCTTTTTGGGGCCAGGGACACCTCCGGGTATAAAGCAAGTATCCAGACCCTGGGTGGGTTTTAGAAAGGTTTTTGAAAAAAGAATTTGAGTCAGGCTTACTGGCACATGTCTGCTATCTAACACTGGGGGTGACAGCAGCAGGGGTGATGAGTTCAAGACCAGGCTGGGCTAAACGGTGAAACCCTGTCATAAAACACACATCACCGCCACCACCACCATCACCACCATCACCACCACCATCACCACCA